GGAAACGATTCCTCGCGATTGTTACGCCGGAAGAGGCGTTGATACGACGCTTCGGATCGCGAGGAGGCTCGTTGCTGGAAATCGTTCCGATCCCCTTTTTTTCCGAGGAAGCTGTGCTTAGGAACGAAGGTAACGAGGGGGTTCGTTTGGTTCGTTTGTTTTAGAGTTCTTTTCGAGATCGATCGATTGTTAACCCTTTGCACTTGAACTCTTTACTGGAGCTTTGTCAGGATCGGTGAGGAATACTTGGATAACTGAATGTATCGATAAAAGTGTATGTTCGTTCCCAAGGAACACGTTTTTAATAACCTGGCCGTACAGTAACACATAGAGTATTTTTGAAAAAAAAAACAGCGAGACTATAAAACGAGAAATTCAATTACGGATTGCAAAACGTTCCCCTACATATTTATCGTTAATATATTCCTTTTTTTTTATACCGATCAGCACCGTGCGAAGAATGCGACGCGTTGCGAAGCCGCGTGAAAATTATGACGCGTGGACCCCGATACATGATTAAGAAATGTCGTAGGTTTTCCCAAGGTTTCTTTTTTCTGCCCTCGCCTACCGTTTAACCAATGATGAATAATTTAATGAGATATAAATCGCGCCGTTCTTAACTCCCCGGACCGCCACTTAGCTAATTATTCACGAATGCGTAATTAATCATCGACGGCATAGTTAAAACTTTCCTAGAATTTTACGGCATAATAACGCGGCTATAAAATTACAGATCTCGTTAAGCCCTGGTTAAGTACCTTCCCGTGTATCATGAGGCCTGACAAACCAGCTCGCCCTGTCGTTACCTGGCGCGTTCGCTTTTAGATCCAGCCACGCGTTCGAGAATTCCTGCGTAATCGCTTCGAAACATACTCCATTGTGGATGGAACGCCATTCAAGCTTGCGTGGGCAAAAATTGCAAACGCTATAGCATGCGAAATGTACTCGAAAGGTGGTCGCGAAATTAATAGGAAATTAAACTTTCCTTATTAAATAAGTAATGGAATCTAAGATCGTATAAATACTCGACCGATACTTTTAATCTTTATTTGATTTATTTATGAAAATAATACGCGTTGCTCTGGGTACGTTATCGTTGCAATCAAATTCAAATTCAAATTTGTCATTGAAATCGCTACAAATCGATCGGTTCAGTCTACGATGTCTCGGAAATTAATAAAAGAAACGAATTTCGAGATCGATGGCGAATAACAAAATCGAAGCGGAGGACGAAATCAAAAAACGCGAGTCGAAACAGAGGGAAGGGAGAATGGGAGCCAAGGACACGTAAAAGCGAGAGACGGTGAGCAGAAAGGGAGCCGAAGCGCGAGTGGGAGGACGACCGAGATACGGTATCGTTATCGTTACACTTAAATCTAATACGGATGAAATTCCAAGGCAGCGAGGTTACAAATGGACACCAGCACGAGGACGTCCGCGGCTTCCTGCTCGGGCGTTCCGATCAACGGCGACGATCAGCTGTTACGCGGCCCACCCACACACCCACGTGCACACCTGAACACACCAGGACTGGTCTCGCGCTCGTGCACCAGGTATACGATCCCGTTCGGAAGCGTTCGCGACCAGTCCACTCGAATCGAGACACTTTTTTACGCTACGATTATTACACTGGAACGTTGCGCTCCTGATAACGTTCACGCGCGAAATTCCGTTCCGAAAACAGAGAACGACCTGCTCGTGATCCAGGACGGGGAAACCCCCGAGGTTAGGCAGGGAAAATTCTCGAGAATTAAGAGAGATATAAATATAGACGGATTTACTTTGCTTTCATCGCGGCTAGAAAGGCGGTGCCGGTCTAAAGTGGATTCCGCCCATAATATGACAATATGTATGCCGAGAGGACGGCGTAATACAGTTCACCTAAATCACCTTTGTAATACGGACAGGGGTGGCTGAAACCAGAACTGGGATTATAAAGACAATGACCTCGAAAGTCGGCTACGGGCCGGCACGATAATTCAAAAGGACATCTAATTCATACGAGAAACTCGTTTTTATTCCAAGCTACGGGGGAAGAAGTCATCCAGCGGCTAGAGAAAAAAGAACGGCTGCTGGACGAGGAATAAATTACCACGTTTCACAACTTCCGCCGCCATGGAGTCGAAAACGTCTCTCTTACCACCGCTATCCGGCACGGCGTATCTAAAAAGGCCATAGTCGAGGTCACCCCTATGCTGCCGCGAGAAAGGCGTCTCTTAACGACGAATCAAGAGGAATCTAAGCAAACGAAAACCCGCATCTTCCACTCCAGACCTCCGTAATGCGGATCGAGATCGAACATTCGAGGGAGTTGGCCTCCGACGCTACGCCATGATGTTGAGAGCTAAGTCGTCGACGGAATTACCGATCGAAACGTAACCTCCATTCGTATACGTATAAATAGTAAGTACACATACTTTCAGTTGTGTCCTCGTGGTTAGATAAACAACGATCACTTTTTACAAATACCTACGTAGGTTGGAAACCGAATATATATTTCCTTGACACACCTGTTGATCATGATGATTTACGAAAGGCTTAAGATTAGTCACGTGTGACGCGCAGAAATTACGATGTAGCGGAGAACGGCCTGTTGTAACCCATTGTTTAGAAGGAAAGGCATAACTTACGGACAAGATGAATAACGACATCTATGACAGTCCATGCGATAAAATGAATATTAAAGTAGGTGACAACAACCTACAATCAACTTCATTATCAATTCAATTTATTGCTACTTTGCCAACGTTTTTACGCGATATAGAAAAATGACAAATTTTTGGAAATTACACACTTTCGTAATTATTGACACGAATGCATTGAAATGCAATAGTCATTATAATGACACGTTAACGCTAAACCCACCGAGGTTTCATTCGTACGTATTTCTACTGTGATCGAACAAATGACTAGTTTTGAAGACACTTTTTTCAATTGAATGCAAAGACATTTCACGTGGTACTAAATCGAATAACGATCATTTGACCGGTAGTGGAAGGTTCAGTGTTAACATCCAGACAACTAGAGATAACGCTAAAAAAATTGTTTATTCTTATGCTTGACCTTGTTAATTATCACATCAACTACTAAAATACCAATGATCTCCAATTCTACGTTCCCTATTACCCTATCGAAACTGTTGGAAATAGAGTATTTAGGCTGTTTTATCGATCCATGTTCCGTTCTGTGCGTGACTCTCGAGTCGGACGGTTGTTTGTTATGCAACGTTACTTCGTGGTATTTCAAGCGATTTTTTCCTCCCATTTCCGTACAATTCATCAAATAAACTATTATTACAACAGAAACGAGTCGCGTTTACCTCGCACCGTGGCCCTCGGAGAGCGCAGAGAGCACAGAAGCGAGCGGAGGTCCACGGCTGCAGCGGCGGCTCGTCGCATAATTCACGCTCTTGAAACCGGTGCCGCGCGATTCGATCGCGCGCCGTATTCGGCGGAGCGTCCACGACCGAGGCGCGAGATAGCGAGCTGAAAGAATAAGGGCGCCGCGAGCCCTCCGGTAGCGTTGGCGAACATACGCCGGGCAAAACCAAAACGATGACGTAGAGGAGGGGGGGTCCGGTGGTCTGGGCGTTCTTTAAGATGGCCGATCTCTTCGCGGCGCGGAATCAATATTGTTGGATTGCCTCGATAACGCCTCGTAAATATAATAAAGCCCTCGGAACCCTCTTTCCCTTGCGTTCGACTCGGTCGTGAGTCCCTGGCGCGGGGCCTCGCTGCCTAACAGAGATAATGGTCGAAGCCCTGGGCACCCGGTAGGCCCCCGGTGGAAGGGGTTCGCTATGGAAGAAGGGCCCCAACCCCCTCTACTCGCTCTCCGTCTCGCTCTAACTCTCCCTTCTCTGTCTGAGCGCAACACGTCGCGGCCCGAGCCGGCGGCCACCGCAACAACCGAGTCAGTGAGATTCAGCCCGAGCCGGCGAACGGTTGGCTCTCGGCGAGTCTTTTACACGTCGCGTAGCACTCGAATCGCCGGCTGTGTTCTACGAACTCTTCCAACGAGCGTGTGTGGTCCCGCGCCTCCGCCACCGGGCAAGGTTCTCCGGAAACGCGATAAAAACGGAGCCACTCCGATCGTTCGAACCGTTCGGCGACACTACAGGGATCGATAGGTGTTTCGGAGGTTTCGGTGATTCCGGGGGATGTGGAGTGCTTGAAGGGATCGGTGGACAGTGATCGACGCTGTGGATTCGATTATCAGCGGACAGCGGCGGAAGATCGCTCGGGGAGCAGTCGAGCGAGCAGCGAGCACGCGGAGACTTCGACGACCGGTACGAGGATGTCGCGCTCCGGGGACCACCCTGACTGTCGTTGTCGTCACCGTGTACCGGTGACGACCATCCTCGCGGCGATCTTGCGCTGAGATCGCGACCCCCGCGCCAGCTTCGTACCGCGTCGATGGACGACCGTCTCGATTTTCGAATGCAAACAGATTTTCTCCGAGAATACTGAGCAATTTTGCCGGGAATCGGTGAAACGTGAACGAGCAGTGTGTGTGAAATCGGTAGGAATATTTTGTTCGGTGCATCGCGTGCTATACAATGGAACTGATTATCGAACTTGAACAACGATTTTCGTGAATTTCGACCTGGAGGTTCGAGTGAGCTTGTCCTAGTGGAAATCGGTAAGAGTGGCTCCATTTTGGAGCACGAAGAACTTTCCTGTATTTTGTGTTATCGATCCAAGAGCACCAGCTCTGTTGCAAATCGGAGTAACGTGGACGCGCGAAGCGTTTGAAATCGGTACTATTATTGTCATATAGGATCATGCGATATTTGATGGACTACTCTGTTTTGGATGGACTGTCTCTATTTTGGAGCACCAACAAATTTTCTGCGTCTCAAGCTACGAATCTTCAGAATATGAACACGAAACATTAAAAATTGGTTCTAGTGTCGTCGTCGCCCAATTGATTTCGGAGCACCAGCTTCTCAGCGTTTCGAGGTACCGATTCAAGAGTACTAGAAGCGTGTTTGGTATCGTTATCGTGTATTTTGTTGCGCGATTGTGCAGTATCGAGTGAACGAAAGGAAATCGTGGTATCGCTGTGGTGAGAGTTGCGGTTGCAGGAAACGATCCGACAGGAAAAGTGTCGCGACAGAGATTTTTCCTAGACAGGACGAGGAGCAATCGGGATTCAGGCTCGCGACAACCGTGCTCGGTTCGATGTGATCGTCCGTCAGACGATGATCCCGGGAATGACAGCGAGTCGATCGACGTTAGGCGAACGCAGGGACGCGTGATTACATAGGAGAACGAGGAAGTAACGATCGTCGAGAAGTGCGATCCGGGCGATAGTAACGCGCGTGTGCACGTATGCTACGCTTCGCACGACACCCGTGGGAAGCTGTAAGAATCACGGATTAATGCACGCAGGAAATCACAGCATGGAGGACATAGTGAGTACATCTTTGTTTTCGTTGAATATATCGGTAACGTGCTGCGAAACTCGTCCAGTACTTTTAATTACGCGATAGGGAATATAAAAGCACTGTTAACGAGTGAAACAATCGCTGTTTCTCCATGATGTAACACTGAACAATGCTCGTTTTTATGAGTGATAAACTGGATATATAATACAAAACTCGACTGAATGGATTATTTCCCTTCTTTTACAGTTCTAGCAACATGAGGCCGAGCATTGTCGCGGAAAAAGATCACTTTTCGGTGATTTGATGCAATCGATGGTCGTTCTTCTATCAAATTATCGTGTAAACGCTTCAGTTGTTGGCACTAACGTTCGGCGGTGACTGTTTCATGTGGTTTTAACAACTCATAAAATACGACGGCTCTCACTGTCTAAAGTATTCGCAGTAAAATCTACGTATACATAAACAACCGCTTTCAATGCAACCTCCTAATATTTAACTATTTCTGCCTCTGAAATTCTGTGAAAAATCTGCGTTTTCATTTGAAGGCTTCTACGTAGTACGATTAAGTTATTTGGTTAATCAAATTTAATTTAGTTCTTGGAAGCCTGATTTTCTTAAAAAAAAAATTATATTGAATCAATTTAGTTTAAAATAATGTAGCGTGAAATAACTGATAAACTCGTTTCTTTTTTTGAATTTTGACTTAGACCGTTTTCACAATTATGGGCTCATATGTCGTTTCTGAAATAACCATGGATATAAACTTTCTTCGTCGATCGATTGCGAGTATGAACCAAACAATTGCATACCAGGATGCCTCGAGGATTTCGAAACGAATGCCATAGAACAATTACAGCCGCCCATTGGTATGGAATACATCATAAATGAATAATCATAGAACACTCTTACGCAAGACATTGTATGCAAGAAAGCAATGGGAAACCTAATGACAAACCTAAGATATCTGAAACACGTGAAAAAAAGAAAAATCGACTTATCCGAGGGCTTAGAGCTAAATACCTCTTTAACAGAATAATAGAATTTTTATTCTCAATTAGTTCCAAGCTACAAGATCTGGTTTATTCGCTCGGTCGAAGATCTATTCGTCTTCCCCCTTCTACATTCTGGTCGGAAAATCGGACTTGATCCTCTCGATCCTCAGATCATTACCTCGAATCATACTTCGCTACTCCAGATCCCTTTTGAACCACTCTATTCTTCCTCTTTCATCGTTGTTCGAGAAATCGGATTTCACCCTTTGGAATAGTGAAGCATTCGCTGAATGGAATCAACCCTCCACCACCTGATTCGGACCACTTATGGCTGCAAGCTTGGTACCGTCGAAATACTCGTCGACGTTCGTCGCGACTGCTTTATTTGAGAAAGATGTCTATCATCGTCGCGAATGGGATAACCGAGAAGCCCGCGAATCTCTCTATTCGATCATCGACCGACGCTTTTACTTGAAAGGGCAGAGTATCATTAGAGTAACGAGATTCTCGTAATTCCTGGAACACGAATCGTCTTCGATCATTCAAGTACAATTATCGATTACGGTTGACAGCTGCCAATACAATCAGCGCGTTTAATCGCGGTACGCGGACGTCGTCTTTCAACGACCAGTTGCCCCACCGAAATTCTTGCATAATATCACGAGTCTTCTACATACAAACGACAGTTTAAAACAGAATTCTCAACGCGTCGCGATGATACTCCTCGGAGAAATGCAAAAGGTCGAGTATCTGCAATCAAACGGCCGCTTCTGCGGCGGATCGCGGTCCTCCGCTTGCTAGGCTTGTAACGATGTTTGTTTTCAAATAATTGCACCTCTCGTTTCAATTCGTGCCACCGGCTTGGCTATGCGCGTGCACAGTTTTCGCTCGCAATTACGAACCGTGTTATAACAGTGTTCGGCGATCGTACATCAGTTCGGTAGAACCCGTGATTAGGACGCTTACGTTTAGACGATCATCTTAGCAGCTCGTGACGTGCAAAAGAACGCCGAGCGCTCGCTTAATCGTGGCTCATAGTAATTTCGTCGATCGTTCGTAATGTTCCCGGGTGAAAGCTCTCGCGAGCAAGCATTTTCGCGTGATTTTCGTGGGAATCTTTCGTCGGGGAATCGTATTTAGAGGAGAACGCTGAAAATTCTCCACTAGAAACAAACAAAAAATTCATAGGTACGTCTTTTTGTCAGGTGAAACTCCTCCAAAATAAATTAAGTAAAATTATTAGGAGGCTAGACAAAAATAATCCAAATTTTACATTCATTTATTCGATTTCCTTTTTGAAGAAGTCCTTCGATTTTTCGTTGAAAAACTTTTTCCAGGTCGGACATATTTTGATTACTTTTCGGTCCCCCTGATGTTTTATATCCCGAGTGCTAGTAGTATGCAAGAAGAATGCGATAAAAGAAAGCTACGAATTTGTGCGATAATAAGAAATAATGAAAATTTTAAGTAGCTTCGCGAGAATACTGCGAATATCGACACAAGGAACAGAACTGATTTCTCGGATAGTTCATGAATCAACGACGAAATGAGACTTGGACGACTCAGAAATGAGGCATAGCCCGCGAGATAAAGATTGCAGGATGAATCGCGGTGAGAAATCGCACGTGGGAACCGGCAAATGAAAGTCGTAAAAGAAGAGGGGTAACCTGCCAGAAGTACTCTGGATGGATGAGCGTCGACGCGCGTGACAGCCGGCGTATTAAGGCAGCGTACAGACAAATTTCCGAACCGTGGCCGCAAAAAACGCGTCCGCTCGCGCAGACGAAACTCTCGTCGAAGGAGAGGGTTGCTCGGTGGCTCGTTACGCCCTGGTCGATTAGTCTTCCGAGCTCTCTTTACTGATCGTGCCCATCGTGCTCGCGGATACGTCGCATAATCTACATGAGAGAATGCGTACTTAATCCTTTCGCTTTCGCCCTTGTCAATTGGATTGTCGCGAAATTCGGTATTGAATATTGAATTTATATTTGAAATCAATATCGAATACTGTTAATGTATATACTGTCTGTTAACGTACATCCATGTATTATGATCGATATACACTCCTCGATGCGAGGACACGAAACGAACGATAAGGAACGGCTCTGTTTTCGAGTTATCAGTAGTTGAGTTCAGTACTTCATCAGCTGACGTCAATGTACAGCAGTAGTACAAGTCAACCCCTTAACTCTTTGCACTCGAGGCCTTTTTTTTCTGGTATCTACCTCGAGATGCTTTCTTAGTATTCTATTGTCACGCCAGATTGCCATTTTATTGACACTTCGATTTCCAAAGAAATTAAACCAAAAGAAACATTATTGACCGAGAGTCACCTCTCGAGTGCAAAGGGTTAATCAACCCTCAAATATCTTCCGCAATATTTTCCTACGTTCGCCTGGAGTTTCTCGAAATTGTCGAAGAAACAAAATGAACATAATATATTCAACGACGAAGCTGCCCTCCCAAAGAAATATACACGCAGAACGAAGCTGCATTGTTGCATTCTTACGAGCTACGTTGTGGCTCGTTACGCCCGAGTCGATTAGTCTTCCAAGGAACTCTTCTCCCCGGCTACGCGCGCTCGGTGCTCGCGTACGCGCTACGGAGGAGCAAATTCATTAAAACCGGTTCATTTAATAGGCGCGCGCATTACGCGCTCGCAGAAATTTGAGAGGAGAGACAGACGCGCTCGCTCGACGGATTCTGATGATCCTCCGTAGCCTTCGTGGATGGAAAGTCGTAAAAAAGGTTTCGAGAAACGGATCGCACAGTGCGTTAACGGTAAAGGGATTGATTGTGATCGACGTGATCCTAATGAGCTGGACCATCCGATTGGATCGCATAGTAGGATTTATCAGCGACCAGCTGAATCGACCGTACTTCCTGCGCGGGTTAGGTCTGGTTAGAAACTGGTTAGCTATCGAGAATGTCGGCTGAAGGGAGGCTTCTTCTAAACAAACTACGAAAAATTGTGATCTAGAGTGCAAGTAGTATGCGAGACGAATGTGATAAAAGAAATTAAGAACGATACGGAATATAAAATAATTACGATAAATTGAATGTTAAATTGAAAAGGTGTGTAAGAATTATTTGCATCAAAGTAAGAAGGTAATTGGTGAGAAAATCGGATCCATAAAGAGAGCACAATAGTTCTTTCGAATCCTGTCGTCGTGAATCATGCAAATTAGGTACTCCGTTCGCATCGTATCGTATTCTAGACCTGGTACTGCTCGGCGTACGCTTTCACGCGTTGACAAGCATATCGCGTACCTTGACAGGTCTTCTGTAGCGTAACTTGTCGCGGGAAGTGTACACGACAACCAAAATAAACGCCAATGAAATTCGATCGGGAAAAGATAAACTCTGCCATATGTGACAATGAAATAATTTGCAGAATTTCGTAATAGGAATCAAAAAATACAGAATATGTAATTCTTAACTCCTAAGGAATGTACTCCAGATAGTATGAGTACATTTAGCTCTCGTTAACCCTTTGACCTACGATTTACCGTAGGATCGTGCGTGTCATAATCAAGTATAAAATTCATTGCGCCCTTTCATACGACGCGCCTGACTCGTGTTCTTCATCTTCGATTCGAATTCTGTACCACGAGTCTCACACGTTGTTATAGATTAAACGATTACTATTGAAATTGAAATAGGAATGTGATAACAACGAAAACAGATCGCCTAAACTCTCGCACCACGAAAGTTTGACAAAATGCGTGAGAAACTAAGACCGGATCGCTTCTCGTAACCTATAATTCCTCCGCGCCCCATCAGCGGGAATCGCGCAAACCACGCGAATCCAAAACTCCGTTTCCATCGAGATTTAACCGAGCCAGCAACCAAGGGAAACGATTCCCCGGACAAAAGGACTCCAACGTCCCACCAGTCGGTCAATTAGTCCTGAGAAAGTGCGCAGCAATAGCTGAATCGCGGCTCCGCGCGCTTGTGTGCGAACAGCGGACTCGTTCGCGCACGGTGCGCTTATTAGTTGGCATTGGTCGACTCTCGCGCCTTGTTCGCTCGGGA